GGGTGGACAGCAGAGGCGAGGGGGCAGCAGGCCGGGGATCTTTCTGGAGACCAGCCTGCAGCTGGGGCCCATTGGCTGCCACTACACAAGAAGGGAGAGTGTGGCTGGGAGACGTGGAGCTTCGAGGATACAAGGAGTCTGGAGAAGAATAAACTTGCTCTGCTTTGTTCCTCCAGCCGGCTCCAGAAGGCATGCAATCTCATCTGAGGCGCAGGGCCAAGGAGTTTCCGGCTCGCAGCCTCCCCAGCTGCCTTCCCTTGCCTTTCCTGCCCGGCTCCTGGGCTTACGCAGAGCAGATGAACGTAGAAGACCCCAGCACTTCCGGCCCTCTCCCGCTCTCCTTGGCATTAGTCCTCCTGCTGAGGCTTATACCATTTCTTCCCGGTTTCCTTCACATCAAGTCTAGCCCTATCGATGATTTCTTCCCAGCTCTCTCCCTCGCGGCCCACTGGTCCCCGGGGAATCACGTGGGACCAGCCCTGCCTGGCTTGGAGGGCAAGGCTGGGTGTCTGAAGCATGAAGCGCAGGGCTGTGATTTTACTGGTCTGGACCTTGGGACCAGAGGGGGCAGACCCCAGCCCTAGATCACACAGCTGGAGGAGGGTAGATCCAGATCCGAAGGCTCCTGACTGCCAGCTTCCACTGCTCCATTTGGTCTGCTTCTCAATCCATGTTGGCAGGACACAGACTCACATCGTGACCTGTGCACCAACAGGCACCCCTGGACCCACACGTGTGTACAGAGTGCACACTTGTGCACAGACACAATTCCTTATGCCCCAAGCCGTATGTGTCAGTTTATGAGCCGGTTTCACATTCTTTGTTTAAACCTTGAGAAGATAGTGTAGAGCTAGGAGTGTCGGGACCAAGATTAGCATCTCCAATTTATAGACCAGAAATGGAACTCAGAGACGTCAGATGACCACCCAAGGTCACACAGCTAGTCAGTGCCAAAGGATGAGCCCAGGTCTCCTAACCCTTAGTTCCAGGGCTATGCCTTGAACACAGAGACAGTTACCATGCAGATGTCTGCAGCTTATTAGTCGCTGATGCCCAGGACCCAGCTCTGGATTCGTAAAAGCACGCCACCCCAGACAGAGCTTGCCTCAGAGAGTTCAGAAACACGGAAGAGGAGCCCCCCTGTCTGAAATCCCTCCTCTATTCACCTGCCAGTGGCAGAATCCTGTTACCAGAGGACAAAGCTGTCAGTTCTCCTAATCAGAGCACAGGCTGGGAGCCACAGGCCCCATGGGAGAGAGGGTGCCCAGTGACCTACCATTCACCCTGTTGCAGAACCTTCTGGAAGGTGAGCTTTGCCAGGGGGAGGGGGCGGGGAGTTGGCTGGAGAGGGAACCCTCTGAGGGACTCCTGTAAAGGGTGACAGAGCCGGGCTTCCGTCCCCCTGCCCTGTACTTTCCTTCATCTCTCCCCCAAACCATCCAGGATACAGGAAAATTGGGGTTACAAGAGGCTTCTTCTTCCTCTTCTTGGTCCATTTCTCTCAGGATCCCCAGCCTCCTCTGCCTCTCCTTCCTTCCCTTTCTCACCACCTGTCTCAGTCCTGACCCCCTCTCCCTAATCTTCTCTTTCCAGCTTGCCCCTTCCAGGAGGACTCCCTCCCCACTGCTTGCTTGGTATTCCTGCCCACTCCAGCCCCTGCCACAGAAAATACAATAAACTTACTATAAAGAAGATGCTCTTCTCTGTGTGTTCATGTGTATGTAAGAGAGACAGGCAGAGGGGCGCCTGGGTGGCTCAGTGGGTTAAAGCCTCTGCCTTTGGCTCAGGTCATTATCCCAGGGTCCTGGGATGGAGCCGCACATCGCACATCGGGCTCTCTGCTCTGCAGGGAGCCTGCTTCCTCCTCTCTCTCTCTCTCTGCCTGCCTCTCTGCCTACTTGTGATCTCTGTCTGTCAAATAAATAAATAAAATCTTAAAAAAAAAAAAAAGAGAGAGAGAGAGAGACAGGCAGACAGACAGACTCTTCTCTGGTGACCAGATCTTCTGATCTTTGGGATCAGGCCCAGAGGAGAGGTTGCCAAGCTTGCCAGGGGAAGGAGGTGAAGTTTCCCTGGGTGTGTGGGGGGGGTTCTTTGGAGCCTGATTACCCCACTGCCCACCCCACAGGGTCCTGTGTGTGCAGGAGGCCCAGACTTTGGGGAGACGCCGCAGGGTTGTGTGTGCTCTACACACATATGTGTGTGCTGGAGAAAAAGGACCAAGAGAAACTGTAATGTGTGTCTGCCAATTGTGTGCATCCCCAAGAGAAGTGAGAGTTTGTGTTCCAGGAGGAGGAAGCAGTATGTGTGTGTATGCGGTGGGTGCATTCTTTGAGACCTGTGTCGCGTCCCCTCCCGTTCCCCCCACCCCCGCGCCCCAGCAGCCCCAGCTTCAGCAAACCCTCCAGCACTTGCCCCTCCGCGCTACACTCCAGGCGGGCGCAGCTCTCACGGATACACACAGTGACACACACGCTTCCTCCTCCCGGAGCACCACCAGCTGCCTCTCTGAGCTAGTGTTCGTGTCGAAAAGCGGGGTGGGGTGGGGGCAGGACACGAACCGTCTCACCAATGAAGCCGGTTCCCCGCCAGCGTCCTCGCCCCCTCCCTGCCGGCGCCTTCCCTGCCCCTCCCCCTCCAAGTCGCCGCCGTCCAGTTCCCCGCCCCGCACTCGCCCCCGCGCCCCCCGAACAGCTCCCTGCCGGCCCCCTGACCCGGGGCTCACGGGCGGCGTGCCTCCGGGAGAGGGGGGGTGCTCCGAAAGACCTGGGGTGGGGGGGGCAGAGGCTGAGTGAGCGGCGGACCGAGCCCGGGAGGCTGGGACCGAGGGTGGGTGGGGGGGGCAGGGAGGCCCGGAGGGAAGGAGGGAGGGAAGGAGGAGGGCGGGCGAGCTGGAGCCGGCAGGCGGCGGGAGCCCGGGCGAGCCGCGTCGGGAGTGCGGTCTCCATGGCAGTGCCGGGCTCAGCCAGAGGTAAGACGACCCCGGCCCTGTCGCCCCGCAGCCCCCATCCCCGCGGCCCCCATCCCCGCAGCCCCCTCCTCCCCACCCGCCTCCTCTCCCCTCCGGCCGGCCCCTCCTCCCCAGCCACCTGCTGTCACTGCCCCGGAGTACACGGTGGGTGGCGGGAGGGAGGAGCCGCCTGACCTTACCCCTTCACCCCGAAGGGCGAGGGACCCCTGTCCTCTGTGGAGTCCCCCAGATCCTCCTCCCACCTTCCTCTGATCTTTCTCTGTCCTTCACCTCCTCTCTGTCCTTCACATCCTTCCTGCCTCCCTCCTCCCTGACTCCCCATCTCTTTCTTCCACAGCCCACCCGCTGGACCTGGGTGGGGGGTAGGTGGAAAGGGGTGCGAGGCTGTAGGGGAGAGTAGTGGGGGGGCGCTTCTGACCAATTCCTTCCACCTCCCTCTGGCTGGCCATTGCCATGGCAACTAGGGTGTACTGGGCTCCGGAGGGAACAAAGGTGGGGGGCGGACTAGGACTTCTCAGGGAGGGCAAGGATCTGAGGTTTTCCACAGGAAGTAGACCCTCTTACTGCTGTGCCCCATTTTTACCCTTGTTTCCCCCCCAAAGTCGTTAGCTCATCCTTCTTGCCTCCACTCTGTTCAGGGTTTCACCTGATTTCCTCTTAGCCCCCTCCCCAGGGATCACTGAAGCTCAGCTTCTCAAAATTCAGGACTATCTTCCTTCCTATCAGAGGGAAACTGAGGCTGGGGCAGGGGAGGAAAGAATGGAGGTCTATGGGTGGGAGTCGGCACCTTATTGAACATTGGGCTTTTCTTCTCAGTCTCCCTGTTTCCTGCTCCCTCCTTTCACAGAGCCCCTCTTCCTTCCCAAGCCTCCTCTCCCGGGGGTCTCTGGGGCTTTCCTTCTATTTTCAGATACTATCACTTTGCCCCCTCTTTCTTTCTCTTCTGCTCAAACTCTCCTCCTTCCCCCTAGTTCCCCATCTTTCCATTTCTGGATGCTTCTGATGTCAGCGGTTTCCCTGCCTTCGGGTTCCCTAGCCCCCCCCCCCTTGGTCCCAGCCTCCTTTCTCCCATCTTCCCAGATCCCCCATGAAATAGAGGGGGATCACACAGGCTTGGGGCATGGGGCTGGGCACCAAGACCCCTGGGCCCAGGAGCTGGAACGCTGGGGAAGAGCTGGGATAGCATACATATCCCAGTTTACCAGGAACCTCAAAAATGAAACAAGTCATGCACCTGCCAGCAGTAGGTCTGAAGAGAGACTAGGGACATGAAGATAGGGATTGAATAGTACCGAGCAGGGGATATAAGAAGGGACCTGGGAATGCCAGAGGGAGGAAAAAGGGCTGAAAGGGATAGGAGACAGGAGGTCAGAATACCTTCTTTCCTGCTGGTCTGGAAAGCAGGGCTCTTGATCTGTGTGGGCTGTGTGACTGGCCATCTGACTTAAGGCAGGAGAATGTTTTGAATGGCCCCTAGTAATCAGTTATTTCTATAGCTTCCAGAGAAGGGGGCACAAGACATCCGTTGGAGACCAGCCTAGGCCCTGCCTTTGCCCTTCCCCTCCCACCTGTCCTTTCTCCCTTGTAGTTTCTCCGGGTGGCTGAGCCTCACCCCCCACACCCCTTGGGGTACCCGGAAGATCCCTGACTGGTCAAGAACCAGAGGACGAAGAGACCCAGAAGTCCTGGCATGGGGACCAGAGCCGCTCAGCCAGCCTCATAGCTGGGAAAGCAATCAGCTTGCCTCCCCCATCAACGGCAGGGGTACTTCAGGAAGGTTCCCACCCACTATGGAGGCTGAGGACCGCTTCTGCTGACCCTCAGTCTCCTCCCCACCCTGCCCTCCACACTGCCCCTTAGCTGGGTCAGTCATGCAATGCTGAGCAGCCGGGTAGGCCCGGGGAGGGTCTGCTTCACCAAGGGGCAGGGATTGTACGCATCATGGGTGTGCGTGTGAGTGGGGCTCCTGGGTGAGACCCAGCCCCCACCCCCAGGAGTCCAAAGGGGGGTGGGGGTGGCCGAGGATAGGATGGCTCGGGGAGGGGCAGGGGCAGAGGAGGCCTCCCTGCGCTCAAACGCCTTGTCCTGGCTGGCCTGTGGGCTCCTGGCGCTGCTGGCCAATGCCTGGATCATTCTTAGCATCTCGGCCAAGCAGCAGAAGCACAAGCCGCTGGAGTTACTGCTCTGCTTCCTGGCGGGCACGCACATACTCATGGCGGCCGTGCCCCTTACCACCTTCGCCGTGGTGCAGCTGCGGCGCCAGGCCTCCTCCGACTACGACTGGAATGAGAGCATCTGCAAGGTGTTCGTGTCCACCTACTACACCCTGGCCCTGGCCACCTGCTTCACAGTCGCCTCACTCTCCTACCACCGCATGTGGATGGTGCGCTGGCCCGTCAACTACCGCCTCAGCAACGCCAAGAAGCAGGCACTGCACGCGGTCATGGGCATCTGGATGGTCAGCTTCATCCTCTCTACACTACCCTCCATTGGCTGGCACAATAACGGCGAGCGCTACTATGCCCGCGGCTGCCAGTTCATAGTCTCCAAGATCGGCCTGGGTTTTGGCGTCTGCTTCAGCCTCTTGCTCCTTGGGGGCATTGTCATGGGGCTGGTCTGTGTGGCCATCACCTTCTACCAGACGTTGTGGGCCCGGCCCCGAAGGGCGCGCCTGGCCCGGAGAGCAGGGGCAGGGGGTGGGGCCAAGGGGGGTGGGGCCGGGGGGTTGGGGACCCGGCCGGCCTTCGAGGTGCCAGCCATCGTGGTGGAGGATGCCCGAGGGAAGCGGCGGTCCTCGCTGGATGGCTCCGAGTCGGCCAAGACATCCCTGCAGGTCACCAACTTGGTCAGCGCCATCGTCTTTCTCTATGACTCGCTCACAGGGGTGCCCATCCTGGTGAGATTGGGGTCCCCCACCGGCTCTCCCCGATATCCAGGCCCCAGAACATTCATCTGACCCCCCAGCCCATCAGCCATACAGCAGCTTAGCCATTCACCTTCCTCTCTTCTGCCCACCCCCACTACATCTGTAAGCCCCCCCACCTCTATCACCCATCTCCTCGTTCCTGTTACCCCCAGCCTCGTCGTCTGTTTTCCGGTTTCTAGTGCTCACACCACCACCCATCCTCCATCTATCCTGCGGCTCCACACTTCAGCCCCTGGACCTACCATCCAGCAGCCCAGCTCCAGTCCCCATTCCCTAACGCTCTAGGGGACACACCACAGGGTCTCTGAGCACTCCAGTGGAAAACCCAGAGAGCTCCCGCCACCACCCCAGCTTTTTGCATCCCTGTCTAGTCCTGATTCCTGAATTTCTGCCTGTGTTCAAGTTTTCTGTATCACGTCTGCTTCCATCCCTCTGGACCTCAGGGCTTTGTCTCCAGTCCCTGCCCCCTGACCTTCCTCTGAATCAGTCCCTTCCCCTCTGTTCATCCCATCTCCACCTCCGACTTTGCCTCTGTCATGATCCTCTGAGAACTGGGCGGTCCTTTCCCTTCTGTCCACCCACTGCACTAGAATACTGGATCTGGGGTCAAGTGGGACCTCTGTGCGCCCGGTGGTGACCCCGCTCCATTCCCCATCCTCCCGCTAGGTGGTGAGCTTCTTCTCCCTTAAGTCGGACTCGGCTCCGCCCTGGATGGTGCTGGCGGTGCTGTGGTGCTCCATGGCACAGACGCTGCTGCTGCCCTCCTTCATCTGGTCCTGCGAGCGCTACCGCGCTGACGTGCGCACGGTGTGGGAGCAGTGCGTGGCCATCATGTCCGAAGAGGATGGCGATGACGGTCAGAGGAGGGCCTGGGCTTTGGCTTTCCCCGGCTTCGGCTCCCTTTCCTGCCCTTTTCTACTGGCCCTTCCCTGCGCGGGGATGGGCTGCCCTGGAGTGCCCCCTGCTGGACGGAACCTGCGCCGCCCCTGGGCTGACTCCAGTCTCCCCCTTTCCCTAATCACGCACCCCGATGTGCACCCACTGCTTCCTCCTGCACCGAGGGCTCCCTGCACCCGGCGGCGGCTTCCCTCCGGAAGCCCACACTACCCAGCTCTGCCTCCGCACTCCAGGCCGAGTGCCTGAGAAACAGTCCAGAGTCCTAAGACAACCCTAAAGGAAGGCTGTGGTACAGAGGGGAGGCTAAGCTCCCTGAGAGAGACCCCCCCCCCCCCGCCCAGCTATAGGGACAGTTCTTGGGGGCGGGGTTGTAACTGTTTCAGTGAATCTGTCTATATGTATGAAGCACTAGGGACTTAGCAGTGAATGCAGCAGACCTTGGACACTCTTGCTTTTCCTCTTAGAGCTTACAGACTAGTGGGAACAGGATTCTCCCGGAAGCTTATAAAGGGGGCAGGAGGTTTTAAAGGGGGCCGGGGAGGGGCGTGGGCATTCCCTGTCTGTAACCACCCTGCCCTTTTTCTCTCCTAGATGGAGGCTGTGATGACTATGCAGACGGCCGAGTGTGCAAAGTGCGCTTTGATGCTAATGGTGCCACAGGACCAGGGGGCAGGGACCCTTCCCAGGTGAAGCTGCTGCCTGGAAGGCACATGCTCTTTCCCCCTCTTGAGAGGGTCCACTACTTACAGGTATGGGGCTAGGGAGTGTACCTCCTTCTCTGGGTACCCCCTTACTACTTGTCTCCAGTCTCTGCTGACCATCCCGACTCCCCACTCCCTAGCCCTGGCCTGCAGGGCCCCTAAGGGGTAGGTGAAAGAAAGGTGTGGCAAGAGACGCTCCCCTTCAGACCCCTCAGAACCAGGTTTGCCCATCAGAGGATGTTTTGCGAAATTTTAAGGGGGTAGAGGCATCTTGCCAAGTCCCCGCTTTGGTTCCTGCCTCTACCCCCCTTTGTCCCTATAGCACCTCTGGGTCTACCTGCTCCTCTCCCCAGGTCCCTCTGTCCCGCCGTCTGTCCCACGATGAGACCAACATCTTCTCTACTCCTCGGGCACCAGGCTCCATCCTGCATAAGTGGTCATCCTCTGATGACATCCGGGTCCTTCCGGCCCAGAGCCGAGCCCTGGGGGGCCCTCCTGAGTACCTGGGGCGAAGACAAAGGCTGGAGGATGAGGAGGATGAGGAAGAAGCTGAAGGTGGGGGGCTGGCCAGCCTTCGCCAATTCCTGGAGGGTGGGATGTTGGGGTCAGGTGGGGGACCCCCACGGGGTCCTGGCTTCTTCCGGGAAGAGATCACCACCTTCATTGATGAGACACCTCTGCCTTCTCCGACTGCTTCGCCAGGGCCCTCTCCTCGCCGGCCCAGGCCCCTGGGCTTCTCACCCCGCAGGCTCTCCCTTGGGTCCCCTGACAGTAGAGCCGTTGGACTTCCTTTGGGGTTGAGTGCAGGGAGACGCTGCTCCCTGACAGGAGGTGAGGGGAGTGCAAGACCTTGGGGAGGATCCTGGGGCCCAGGTAACCCCATTTTTCCTCAGCTGACCCTCTGAGCCCAAGTGGGCCTGCGGGACTCAGAGGACAGGCCCTGGGTGAGTAACACCTCCAGACTCTGTGGAGATGGGCATTGGATCTGGGGCCTGGAGCCCGATGCTGTCTCCCATCTCAGTGACCAGATGTCCTACTCACCTTCCATCATTCTTAGCAAAATGTATTAAAGCCTGAAGTGTTACCATGGAAACCTCGGTGTCCTGTGTGCTAGGGTGGTAGAGGGTATGATGGGAGGCTTGGGGGTGGAATGGCTCATAGAGGACCAAATAGAGCAGGGGCAGTGACTAGAGGCACAGGAAGATGCCCAGACAAAGACAAATTCAAACATGAAGACATGCAGAGGGACAGGCTTACAAGAGCATCTTGTGCTGGGCACGGACGTGGGCATGGGGAGACACTCGACTTTGCTGCTTTGGGGTGTGAAGGATCTCTGTCCAGATTTGTGAAGTAGCTTCAGAGTGGGATTCCATGTACCATGCCCCAACTCTCCTCCTTCCCCCAAATCCACCGAGGCCTCACTTTCTGGGCAGGAAAGTATTTGGGCCTGAGTTGGTGTCACAGGCCCGCATCTCATGCTGCATTCTAAGGCTCTTTTTCCAAAAGTGGGTGTGGGTGGGTGTGGGGGAGGCATCCACTCTCCTTGTCCTGGACCCAAGAGTGGGGGTAGGGCAGGCACAGAGCGGAGGAGAACACAGCTGAGGAGTTACTCTGACCCCATGGGCCCAGGGGTTGGAGTCAAGGGTCCTAAGAGGCTTCCCAGGATGTTTTCCAAAGCACCAGTCCCGCTCCAGTCCCGCTCCAGTCCCGCTCCAGTCCCAGCCCTTTGCCATCTGTTCTTCAGGGCCTGTTCCTCGTCCCACACTGTCCCTCGTCTTGAACACTGCTTTCTTCACTTTCTGCCAGGCTTCCCGACTTCTCTGGCTCTCACACTAGCCTCTCCCAGGGCTGAGTCTGGGCCGCATCAGGTCTCCGTGGCCCTGCTCATTCCTTCTCTCTTCCTCTCCTCCCTCCTCTCAATCTCTCCTTCTTTTCCCCTCCCTCTCCCTCCCCCTTCCCTCTCTCTCCCTCTCGGCTCCCGCATTCCGCTTAGGCAGCCGGCCGGCGCCCCTGGCACCATGCTCCGGCTCCTCCGGTTGCTGCTGCTACTGCTGCTGCTGCCCCCGCCGGGCTCTCCCGAGCCCCCGGGCCTGGTCCCGCTGTCCCCGGGGGCGCCCCCCCAGGCCCCCGACTTGTTGTACGCGGACGGGCTGCGCGCCTACGCGGCCGGGGCTTGGGCGCCGGCGGTGGCGTTGCTGCGGGAGGCGCTGCGGAGCCAGGCGGCGCTGGGCCGCGCGCGGCAGGACTGCGGGGCGCGCTGTGCGGCCGAGCCGGGGGCCGCTCTCCCCGCCGTGTGGCTTGACGCCCCGGGGCCTGACTCCGGGCCCGGCTTGGCGCAGGGGGCCTGGGAGCGGCTGCTGCTCCGCGCGGCGCTCAGCCGGGCCGAGTGCCTGACCCAGTGCGGGGCGCAGAGGCTGGGCCCCGGGGGCGCGGCGCGGCTCCGCGTGGGGAGCGCTCTGCGGGACGCCTTCCGCCGCCGGGAGCCCTACAACTACCTGCAGAGGGCCTACTACCAGGTGCGGGAGCCGCCCGGGCCCCTTCGGGGGTCCTGCCCTGACCTATGCTGCGCCGCTACTCGGAGCTCGCCGGGAGGGGGCGGAATGCCGGCGCCCGGGCCTCGGGGTGGGGCTGGGGGGTGGGGGCGGTCAGCGGGCACACTCCTTCTGAGTCTGTCCCATCCAAACGGCGTCAAGTACCCATTGACGTCGCCGAGGGACAGCTTAAGGGAGAGTGGGAGCAGAGTTGGAGCGGGGCTGGATGGGGTCCTGAGGGGGTGGGGACAGATCGGAGATGGAGGGAAGGGGCCTGAAACGTTAGGTCTTCCTGAGATCTACGTGGAATGATAGCCGCCTCTTCCTAGGAGTGAAGTGGAGGGGATGGAGGAACCCCGCAGCGGCACGGGAAGCACTGGGAGGGGGGAATTGAGTGTGAGGCTTTGCGGGGCAGGGGCACGGCTCCTCAGCCCTGAGGCCGGGCATGTGCGGGGCGGGCAGTGGACACTGCGCAGCTACCAGTTGGGTAGCTCTAGCCTACGTGGCTGGGGTTGGGGGGGCTTGTCACACACACCTCAGCCCAGGGTCCTAGAGACCTGCGGGTTTTGCCGGTCGCTCGGGTCTCCCCCACTTCCCCACATCACTAGTCATCACTTGTGCCTTGTCTCCCAAAGGGAGACCCTGAGTTGCCTCTGTGGTATGGCACCCACTCCAAAGTCTTCAAACCCTTCTTTCCTGAGCTTCCCCAGTGTACTGGTTTCTGGGGGCTCTGGAGGTTGGGAAGTGATCAGTTCTGACTGACAAGTCTTCCAGAAGGTCCTGGGGCAGTTCCAGGTGTGTGTGTGTGTGTGGCGGGGGGGGGGGGGGGGGGGGGGGCAGTGAATGGGCAGAGGTCTGACACCCCTGCAGGAGGGCACTGACCCTCATCCTCCCTGCTTCTCAGCTGAAGAAGCTGGACCTGGCAGCGGCTGCAGCGCACACCTTCTTTGTAGCAAACCCAACACACTTGCAGATGCGGGAGGACATGGCTAAGTACAGACGCATGTCCCGGGTGCGGCCACAAAGCTTCCGAGACCTGGAGACACCGCCACACTGGGTGAGACACCTTTGGCCAGGTAGACAAGGCTCACTGGACTGGGACCTGTGTGGCCCAGGCATCAGGAGACCTGGGTACTGTCCTCAGTCACCCTGCCTGGAGAGTCCCTCTCTGGGCCTTAGTTTTCTTCTCAAGGATCCTTAAAGCCCTTTGTATGTCCATTCTGATCCTGAGGCCCTATATTCCCCAAGGTGAAGTGGGACCTGGAGTCCATGCCCCAGGTGTGACCAATACCCCTCCCCTTCTTTCTGCTTCCCAGTCTTGCTTGGCACCCTGCCTCCAGGAGCTCGGGTAACTGTCCACTTCCCTCCCCCACAGGCAGCCTATGACGATGGCCTGGAGCTACTGGGGCGCCAGGAGGCAGGACTGGCACTGCCCAGGCTGGAGGAGGCCCTGCAGGAGAGCCTGGCCCAGATGGAGAGCTGCCGGGCTGGCTGTGAGGGGCCCGAGGAGCAACAGAGGGTGGAAGAAGAGGAGGAAGGAGCTGGGAGCCAGGGGGGCCTCTATGAGACCATTGCCGGTAAGGAGCTGGGGATTCACAGCCCCACAGAGAAGAGCGTTGCAAGCCAAATGGTTCACGTGTGTTGTCTGCAGGCCACTGGATTCGGGTCCTGCAGTGCCGCCAGCGCTGTGTGGGAGACATGGCCACGCGTCCTGGACGCAGCTTCCCTGTCCCTGACTTCCTTCCCAGCCAGCTGAGGCGGCTGCACGAGGCCCATGCTCAGGGTCAGTTGGGGAAGGGTGAGCCCTGGGGGTGACTGGGGTTGGAAACAGGGGAAGTGAAGGTTTGTCTCTGTCCATATCCTGAGCCTCATTCTCTCCATCCCTCCCATCTGTCTCTGGATCTATAGCTGGTCAGGAGGACTCTCACTGGCTCTCCTTTGGCACCATTATGGAAAGGTCCTTCTGCCCTTGCTGCTTCTCATCTTCTTTAATTCCCTCCTCTCTTCCTTCCCTTTGAACTCTGCCTATCCTGCCCAGGTATGTTTGAGTGAGCTTTGGAAAGAAGCGATGGCTGAGTGCGTCGGCCGGGTGGGATGGGGGTTTTGGAGTTGTTTGGCGTCGGGAGACCACTTTTCTGGCTCTGCCTCTGTCCACCCGTCTTCCCTGACTCTTGCCTGGGGACCGCTGTCATTCTCAATCTCTGTGCCCTTCCCCGCCCTCCTGCTCTGTCTCCAGTGGGGAATCTGTCCCAGGCTGTGGAAAATGTCCTGAGTGTTCTGCTCTTCTACCCGGAGGACGAGGCTGCCAAGAAGGCTCTGAATGAGTACCAGGCCCAGCTGGGAGAGCCGAGACCTGGCCTCGGTCCACGAGAGGTAACCCTCTGCCCCATGCTTACCCTATGAGGTAACCCTAAATCAAATAGAACTGAGAAGTAGCCTGGACTCTGTCCCCACAACTAGGCACCACAGGCAACCCCAAGCCCAGCATCTGTCTTGTCTCCCCTCCCTGCTCCCCATTGCAGACTTGACTTTGAGTCCAAGTGCCAGCCCTTCCCCTCTTGCCCTCACCTCACCCCTACTTGCCCTCCCTCATGTGCCTTCCTGTGCCACAGGCACTCCCTCCCCCAACCGCCCCCCCCAACACACACACATTGAGCACAGATGCCCTGAAATTGCCGAATAGGAAGGCACAGGGAAGAGTTTAGGAGCATGCAGGCTGACCCCTAGAACCTGGACCTGCCATGCCTTAACTTCCCTGCCCCACTCAACTTCTCCTCACTTCACCCCTTTCCCCCTGATGCCCACCCCACCTCAGGACATCCAGCGCTTCATCCTACGATCCCTGGGGGAGAAGAGACAGCTGTACTATGCCATGGAGCACCTGGGGGCCAGCTTCCAGGATCCTGTGAGTATCTCCCCTTGTCCCCATCCTGCCACTTGGTGCTCCCCCAAGAGGAAGGGAACAGTGATGCCCTAACTTTGTGTCACTGCGGTTTGCAACAAGGCTTCCCAGTCCCCACACCCCTGGGACACTTGGAGAGGAGTCTGCAGTGCCTCAGGGACAGAGGCGGGTGCCCGCAGTAGAGGGTGGCTTTGGGGTCATGCAGGCCTAAGTGTTGGTCTCTTTTCTGCCATAAATAAGCTCTGGACCTTCACTTGCCTCCACCTCAATTTCCTTGCCTGTAAAATGGGCTCATCAGACCTTTCTCATAGAACTATTGAAGCCATATCATTTGCTACATAGTAGGGAAGGCTCTGTTCCTGCTGCTTTGGTTACTGTTGTTGTTGTTGTTGTTGTTATGAGGAAACTGAAGGGAAGAGGGTTTGTTCTCTGCTAGGACAATAACATAAAGCATTTTCCCGACCTTCATGGCACCATTGACATTTTGACCTGATCATTCTTTGTAGGGGATCATTCTTTGCCTGGGCTTTGTGGGACATTCAGCAGCTTCCCTGACCTCTGCCCGGTAGATGTTAATAGTAGTCTCTGAGTCGTGGCAATCAAAACTGTTTCCAGGCGTCGCCTAACGCTGGGGGGCAAATTCTCCCTGGTTGAGAACCT